CGACTGCCTCTCCTCTGACCAAGTTCGCAGTCTATTTTTTAAATGTAGAAAGCACATAAGTTAATGTTTATTAGCTCCTGTGAAATAGATATACAGGGTTTTTACCCCAGACGAAAAATGAATGTTGCGATAGGACAGAGGGTGGTGGTAGATGGGGGGTATGAAAAATTCCTGTATCCGCCGCTGCCTTCCACTGACTTCAGCTACTGACGACGATTGCCGGAGAAAATATATTAAATAAACAAGACTCCCGCATAATTCAATAGTAAGAAATTGGACAGCGAGCCCGTTTCATTCCTTGCACCAGGGCCCAACCACGCTACGACACTAGTGTGAGTAATTCACCCTGTTTACGACCTGCACCCGTGCGTCAGTCTTTGGAAATACTGCTCTTCCATAGGTGTTGCGTGATTTGAGTGCTGAATTGAGAATGGGTTTGACTGAAGAAGACAAAATTTTAATTAAAACCCTGTGCGAAGAGATTCGGTATTTGTAAGATGGATTATTGCAGAGTTTCCAACTCAGAATAGGAAAAGAAGTACAGATTATGACTTTTTAACGAAGCTACGAGTAACAGGAAGTGCTGTGAGGCGGGTTGGTAGTAGACAGCCACGCCCCGTTCGTACGGCAGACAACATCGAGACTGTGCGTGAACTCATCTGCAGCCAAGAGAATGCTCCTGGAATCAGTCTGAGTGCTCGCAGAATGTCTAGACAGACCGGGATCGCTCGAAGTTCTGTTCGGCGCATAGCCAAGAATGATTTGAATTTGAAAGTATTCAAACGAAGTGAGGTCCACAAATTAACAAGCGACACGAAACTACGAAGACTGGAGAGGTGCAACCGACTTCTGAGGAGATTTTTCAGCAGCCATTCAGAAAATCTGGTTCTCAGATGAAAAAAAAAATCACGACAGAAAGACCCAGTAACGCCCAAAACGATCGCGTGTATGTCAACGTGCAGAGGAAAGAGAGGTCCAGTCTGCACGATTGTTGCGGGAGAGGGCGCATTTTAGCAAGTCTCTTGTAGAACGTGGGGTCAAGATTAATTCCACCTACTATTGTGAGGACATTTTGTCCAAAATGTTGTCCGAGATTGAAGATCAGATGCACGACTACACGTTTATGCTAGACGGCGCCCCTGCACATCGGTCACATGCAACCATCGACTACCTAAGGGCAAAATGTCCTGACTTCATCGAGCCAGACCTCTGGCCACCCAACAGTCTCAGCATGAACCCGGTAGATTACTTTGCTTTGGGCAGCCTGCAGGAGATGGTATATGGGGACACAATCATCAGAAGTCCATCACCTGAAGGAGCGAATAGCAACATGCTGAGAGCAGTTGAGCCAGCAATCCATCGCTGCAGCTATCGCTCAATGGCGAATAAGACTAACAGCAGCTGTGGAAGCACGTGGTGGACACATTGAACCATACCTGAACCATACCTAAACCAATAACATCCCACCAGACCTTGCCAACATCCACAGAACTGTGAAGTTTGCCTGGCAATTAAAGTGAGTAGTTGCAGCGTAATTTTTGTTTGGTGTTTATATGAGCTCCCGAATGTATGAAACTGTTGAAGATATTTGAAACGTAAGCACAATATTTTAAAGCTTATTCATTTCTCTTTCATATGCCGCAACCCGAATTAAAATATATGCAGTGAGGGAAGTGAGATGTATCGTTGAAAACTGTTTTTTTTTTTTTAGCCCACCATGTACTGTACATCTTAGCTCAATATTGGCACCCATCTTGGATCATTATTGGGATTACTACCGGGGTCGACATTGACGTTGGTATTTGTGCTAAATTCATTACCCAGTGAAAGTATTCCCATGGTGGAAACATTTATATATGCAGTACTAGTATTATCTGTACTAGTATTGTGGAGTCCTCCTCGTGCCCTTGGTGAGGTAATGAGTAGAGGGGAAGAGTTCCCAAGTTCCTACGCTGAGTGGCCATAGCGGGCCATTCTCTCCTTCACGCCCTCGTCGTGCCCCATGACAGTCCGTCCTGAGAACCTTCGGCCGGACAACACGTGGCGTGTCGAGCCACGCATCCCGACCCTCACAGCCGGTCAACTCATTGGACCGCGGAGTGTGCTCCGAACTGTGAGCCGGTCAGTATAATGAACTGCCGTGAACTCATCACGAGCCGACGACTTGGACCACGGTCGGCGGACAGGAGCCAACGGATTCGACCGTCCACTTATCAGGACGAATTGCGTGCGAGTCTTCCCCCCCCCCTATGAACATGAGGCTGCATCATCCCTGTATTTCCTCTTCCATTCTTTCCCCCATTGATTATCCTAATAAATTCTGTACAGTTGTTAACGTTGATCTAAGGACGTACCTTCCTTCCTACTTGGAGTCAGCGGAGCTAAGAGAGATTCGCTTTTACCTTACTAAATTACCATCTAAAGAACACCAATCCTTCTTGATTACCTACCGACCGACCACATTGGGTCTGATCCCCATAAGTAGTGAGGCATTCGTGCCCCATATCCTGTGACCCCCTAGGGTTCGCTGCAGTATAACATCCCCCCATGCACATGTGTCCCATGGATGCGCAGGCGACAGGACAGTGCAGGAGTTGATCTTCCCCTGAATCTACAATTTACAGTACATTTTAGAAGGTCCACCCCATAACGTTCTACGGAGTATCCGCGAAATCATTCCCTAATTTCCTCATTCTGCCCTCAGGACGAGGAAATGGTAGATTGAGTCCGCGGACTCCAACAAAGTTCTAAAACTCCTTTCGGATAAGGTCACTCTTCCTCGGTAAAGGGTTCTTATGGGGAATATGAGCTTGTTTATGGCCTGGGCTCCATGAATCTTTTTTTCAAATATGGAGATTACAAATAATGAAGTGTCCGCGTTTATTGATTCCTATTATGAGACTAGGCGAGACATGTGGCGAGATACTAAGCACTCCTGTGATGGACGATTCCAGGAGAGAGGGAAGGGCACTTTGAACTGTGTGAAAAGCGAGACCCACACCTCAATATAGTGGCCTGGAGGAGAACTTCAACATTTTCCAAAAGAAGAGCAACTTGGGCACATTGAATCATCGCGTCGGTCCGATTTTGGATCGATGATGGAATGGCAATATTGGAGAGCCAATATTTAGCCGATATTGGTTGTATTGGCCAAGGTGTAGCCGACGTGCCCAATGTTAGTAAAAAAAATAACAGCATTGAGCCAATACCCGGTGCTACTGGGGCGGGGGTGCAGATCGAAGTTTAAGATTGGTTGAACATTCCCCAGCAAGCATAGGCACGTTCCATATCCGAGCTTATTCTGAATAGCGATTCAAGATTTCATGGCGCTTTGCAGTTTTCATTTTTACGACATGTTCCTAGAATCCCTGATAAATAACACTCGACTTGCACCTTCGTCTTCGTAAGGTAGTTGCAATTAATCATTGATACTATCTAAGAGCCAGCAAAGAATCTTTTATTTTCATAGGGGAACCTGACCATACGAGGTACTACGATGGTCTTTATAATTTCAAAAATGCAATTTAAGAAGGTATCATAGTGGCATAATACTCCCAAGATATTCATGTAACGTTGAACTTAGACCTTCAACGAACTACTGTTCACACAACTGGGATCGCCTTACAAGGATGTTGCGATGATACAAAGGACCCATCCCACCAGAGAGTTGTTGTTTTGCTCTGGTTATAATGATTTCAAAAGTTGGAGAATGGACTCATGGTTTAGAAAAACCAATAAATTTTCAGAGAATTGGCTTAATTTGAACGAAAATTTCTTAAAAATTGAGATTAAGAAAAGACACAATGAAAACCACTTTAAACCAAGCTACAAGGTTCTCAGCAAACAATTGCAAACACCTAACGTTGAATCAACATTGAATAAACGTTTGGAACGTTGTTACAACGTTGGTCCAACGTAGCCTTGTTTGCTGCGTTGGAACTCAATGATGACTAAGCAAAAATTTGGTTAGTCCTATACGCCGACAGGTGGCGCCTGTTTTAGCGAGTTAAGTTCATTGTGCCGCACCCTGTAGTAGCACATTGTACGCCGAAACACTCAGGTAAGACATTTTAAGTGATGCATGAGCGCTACAGTTTGCTGAAATATTTCACATTGTTTTTGAAAATCCATTCATGCGTGGGGTGCAAAGTCGACGAGTAAACCATTTTAAAAAAAATTATACTAATTATTAGTTAAACTAGTAGTTTCACTAGTGTGGTCTTTTTACAATTGCTACACTAGTTCTAGTGGATCGCTGAACTAAATAATACGACCGATTCACCGAGCAGGCCCACCAACACTGAGAACTAGCTACTGAGCAATGCATGATGGAACTTGTAAAACGTGTCTATCTTACGACACGTGCGGGTGATTCGGAATGGGGGTGTCACTCATGGGTCTTTATAAGGGTGATTTGACGATGTAGTCCACGCATTTTTTCCGCAGGAGGTGTGTGCTCCTTGGGGAATGTCTTCCTGATTAGCTGATAATGACGTTTGACTCAGGCCAAGCTATATACTGTACACTTACTCTCGGTCTCAGCCTAGGCTAATATACGCATGTTACGGGCCTATATGTTGGCCGACGGTATAGATCAGGGTTTTCAAGATTTTCCCTCACCCGTCTGACGGAAAGGGATTACCAAAAGTCGAGTGACAGCCAAATGGCGCAGGTTCCAATCGATTTTTTTTCTTGCACATCGCGGAATCATAGAAGGGGCATGTTTTTTTATTTCATTACCGTACTACGAGTGTCGCTATTCCCACAGCAAAATAGGGAGGCGAAGCATTTGCTTTGACGCTTGGAGAATGGAAATAAATGTTTAAGGTCTGGAACCCAAGAGTATCTTGTCACTCACCAATGTGGTGCTGAGAACCTGTGACATTTGCTTACCGTCTCAAGAATCTTGATTGAAAATGGTACTTTCCACATGACTTCTTCCTAGCAGTGGCTGCTCATGAAACACAGCAGTTCAAACAGCAACTGCCACTATATCTATGCACTTGCTACAGGCAGCAATTTGTTGAGAAATTGAGGGGGGGGGGCTCAGAGGCAGTACTCCAAGTATTCCTTATTCTTCTGCCAAATTTTTTGGGGGGCTCGAGCCCCCTGAGCCCCTATGAATCGTTGCCTATGGCACTTGCCTCGTTGCTTTATTGTCCAGCTAGCATTAAAATATTTGAGCCAACCTTGAAGCCACTGAAGGACACAATAAGACACTTAGTAATTCCTTCTAAAGCATTGCCCACCTGTATGCTTTGTGAAGGATATGAATTATTGATTATGGCTTGGGGCCCAGTTCAATAAGTTAAAGG